GGATAACAGCCACTGGCCTAAGATAAGCGGTCTTGCCTTAAATCCATCTAAATGTCGGACTATTAATCTCACCTTCAGACATAAACGTGATCTACGTGAACTTGTTCTTTCACAAGACGCTTGTAGAGTGACATAGAGGACAGTGGAGTAGAAACTAAGTCAAGCATTAAATACCTTGGAACAGTCCTATCCTCTGACCTTTCTTGACCATTCCATATCTTGTCGACATCTAAGAAAATGTCCCGTCTAACCTAATATATTAAGAAGCTAAGACAATTAGGTATCACTCAATCTCTACTTTTACAATTCGTTAACTCTTGCATCTTACCTATTATTCTTTATTGCTCCCCCATCGTCTTTCCTGGTTCACTCAAAAACGACTATGTCATATTGCGAACAGTATTAAAGGTTGTCAGCAGGGCAAGGGGTGTGCCACTTGGTCAGTGGAGTTACATCGATTGAGATGGTCAGGATATGTGTTACGCTTGCACGCCCAGCCACCACCCTCTTCGACGGGCAATGTTAGCTGACATAGCACCGACCAGGTTCGATAAGAGCCAGTGGTGGTCAAAACAAAACATAGCATCAGTCAATGAAATCCACAACAGTTAATTTAAGCCAGTCACGTAGGGAAGTGTAGACTTCCTGACTGGCTGGTTGGGGTCTTCGGGACGGTAAACACTAATGGTTGGAGACAATTGGTGATATGGCTCAAAATCGTCTTCAATGACAGCGCAGATGCATCCACTCCTTGTGACTTATATAATACCCAATGAAACTATATTGCTCCTTGATATTACTATTCTTTTCGCCTCATATCTCTGTTTACTGTCTCTATTTTGCGTTTGTTTTTACTTTCTTCCTTTGCTTTGTGTGCTGAGTGAAGTGTGGCGACTCAAACTACTGCACACCGGTGCAAAGTTTTATGTTGAAACCAGATAGACAGACAGAATTAGTCAGTTTGTTACTACTGTAGTCGATAGACACCTGAACTCATGTGACAAATGGTCCAAATCTATATTTTCTGACTCTCAACACCCTTTCTATTCTCAACCCTCCCCTTGCATCTTGTCAAGTAGGATTAGAAGTCATACCATAATTGGCTTGCGTCCTATGCTATATAGATAATGTTAGACTCGAAGCCTACGACTTACTATGTTATTGGCAAAATAATTAGCTATTTTATCTTCTCCTCTTTTATAATCTATGGGGAAACTATTTTAATTAACCTGTAATTTCAGCTATTAACATTATCATCATTGATTATTTTACACTTTTTGTACATTTTTGATTTTATTGTCACTGCTATTATCAATCCTGTTATATTTTTTATTTTTGTTCTTGCTATTGTCGAGTAAATTAGATGCAACATTGTACCAAATGCTGAGAATTCCAAGCTATATTGTAAGCACTCTTTTGGAATAGAGCCAATTATTATTATTAAATTCTAATGCACAAGCCCGTAAAGTGTTTTCAAGTGATAAAACACCTAAGCGAAATCGACTCATTTGAAAAGGCAAGCTTATTTAGATGAATCCAACAACCATAGGCCAGTAATATTCCAAAAATATAGCAACAATAATTCTCAGTAGTAAAAAAGTTTACGCAGATACAATAACTAGTAGTGATTTTTTTCTATTCCTTCATATTCCCAGTGGAACATAGGGCTTCAAGCTAGAGGCTTGAAGTTTATGTAGCAGTGGTGTTTATTTTTACAGGATGGGGTCGCTAATCTCATGTCAAACCTTTCCTCTTTATCAGCTTTATTACTGGATTAGCGAGGTAAAGGAGTGCGTCGGTGGCCGGGGATCAAACCCCGGACCATGTGCATGGTCGGCGAGTGTCCTAACCGCTGTGCCACCGACGCAATTAATAGTGATAAACTATACTATTTAATTAGTGTTAGATGCTACAAAGACATTAAAAATCTAAAGAAAGTAGTGTGGAATGCATTAATGCATAATAATAAAAAGACATAATGGCAATTTACTAAGTACCGCTGAAATTCTACTTAAAACCAGTGGATTTTCTTCATATTTGTAAAAGACACTGACATATTAATTTAGTGTAAGATTAGACTTTGAGTACTGCGGTGGTACAGTATACTTCCATGTTAGATAAGTTTATTCCTCATAATCATATCAATGTATTATTCACACACAGCTTCATAATTCGCTTCATTTGCTTCTTTTTTTCCCTCTCTCCTTTGTTTTGAATTTCAATTTCCGACACATCCAGTATAGGCGTTGAGTTATTTCGATTGTATGTTCTTGGTGTTGATTCGATGAACAAGGATACAGTGACTAGCCTCTCTCTCGCTCTCTCTCCGTCTGTCCACCCAACTAAATTAGTTTTTAATACTTTCACCCTATCCCGCACACCCTATTGTTTGATTAAATGCAGGTGAATGCATTACAATGGCTGAGATTTTTTCTATGTTATTTAACTTAGTAGGGTTAGTTATTCTAAGTCTAGCTAAACTTCTATATTCCGATAATCTAATTGACCCCGATCTATTACTTTGACCTGAGTAGTCATTACATGGTATTTGGTAAATTGTATTATTTTTCCTAATTGGGTCTATCGGGTCCTTAAGCAGGAAAAGTTTCTCTGAGTGAGTTGGTTGGTTAGTTGGTTTAAATGCCACACTAAGTCCAGCCTTGATGAAAAATCATACGTAAGACCTTCGATATTTCTTATTACTGATGTAAACCAACGTATTCACAGACTACTAGTTAGAAAAGTCAAACACCACTTTGATAACTGTACTGATGCACTGATAAAGTGTGCAAAATAATGATTTACAGTCGACTAATCTGTGTTACAAATCTAATGTTTATTATACTTATCAGTACAAAAATACAGAAATTTTCATCTGTAATCATTTCAGTTCATTTACAGTTTATGAACTGTGACAGTGTACAGAGAATTGAAATTCTTTGGTACCGTAAAGTACTATACCATCTTAATTAAAAGTGAATGTTTTTTACATTTTCAAAGGGAATAACACTTAAGGGTTAGCATATGACATCAATTTACGAACTTATTGATTGATAATATAAGCAGTGCAATCATTGACAGTTAGTTAATCAACTGAAATCAAGTTTGGTGCTTCAAGTGATATTGAACAAGGTCGATTGATTGTAGTTGCAAAGGAGTGCATGAGTATTGAAAATTATAATGCTATAAATATTATTACCTTTCTTTTTCATTGCAAATTATCTTAGTACTAATACGACTGTTCACACGATTGTTTCCATCCCTATAAATGCCCCTTGACCTAGCGGATAATGCTTTAATGTTTGAAATGGTGGGTGTTGGATTCGAATCCCAGTGGGACAATCATCACTCACTGGCAATGCAGAGGATCCGGCTGAGAAGTCCCGAGTGTGACGATATGCATACCTTGGGCTCCATCAACCAAATCATATAATTCGGAAATGTGGCTCATTGGCCCAAGCACTCAGTTTTCAGCCAATGGGCCAAAGGTTCCAGTATCCCTCCCCCGCGCCTACTACCTCAATCTGGGTGACTGTGTAGTGTCACCAGCCTTCACACGACAGGTGTGAATCTCAGTCTGGTGGTACATGAAAAAATCTGTTCCTGGTAAGTAAGCCAAATCAAACTTACACAAACATTACTATCCTCTCATTTACTTTTACAGTATCGAAGTGAGGTTTGACGATGTTTAGTGTGTTGTGGTGAGAGATGGTTGCTGGCCAAATTGGTTGACAGTAATTGAGGTCAAAGGTCAAGGTGGACAGGCGGTTACAGTTAACATATAGATGAACTGACACAGCCACAAGAGATGCAAGGTTAACTTTGTGTGAGAAACAACCAATCAACAGACTGTATTTTCTACTAAAATTGACCTACAATAATGTACATAAAAACCTATAAATACGTGTTGATTTTTCGTAATAAACGATCTGTTGCCTGGCCCTTGTCTTCTGTTGTTACAAGTGGATTATAATTCAGCTGACTTCTATGTTGTTAATGTCTGATATTTTAAAAGTTGTTAGATGGCTAAATTATGTCAAAGTAGACAGCATTTGGTAGAACTATGACAATAGGGTAAATCAAGGTGGTGGGTGTCTGGTGGAACAAGTAGTTGTTTTCAAAAGATGCAGCTCATAATCGCTCATGTTTATCTCATTGTCAGTGATGCTGCACATTTTGAAAAGAAACCCAGTCTTTTCTCACAGTTCATAGAACATTGAATTATTTAAAAATCTGACTGTAGAATCTTCAGATCAACCAAGGAGCCATGTATCCAGGACAAATAGATTTGTCGGTGGAAAGGAAGGAAGATAACAGTCTGGAACTACTACTGATCAATGGACTAAGAAGACACTTGAACCTTAGAGATTAGATTGTTAAGTTTTCGGTGCTGTGTAGCACTCAAAATGCATAAACAGTTTCTTTACAGACTAAAACAGTAGGCCTTATACATGAAAAATTCAGTTGGAATGCAGCCACAAGACAACTACTAGAAATTACATGCAGCAGGAAATGAGTCACACCTATTGTCCTAGGGTTAGTGATACTACCTGGCAGGAGCTTGAAGCCGTAACCTACTTGACTGGAAGTCAAGCGCCAAGGCCAATGAGCCACAGCTCCATTTACACAAGTGAATAAGCATACTGAATACTACCTAAATGATAAACATTATAAAGGCACACTTTATAAATTAAACACAGCATACGGGAGGGGCCGGTTAATACATCTCAAAAAGTAAGCATGATACACACATAAAAAGATGGAGATGTCGCTCACCACCTCAATTATTCGACTTCCAGTCGAGAGGGTCCCTCTTCACCCACTTCATCCTGAGCAACTAGGCAGTATCACAAGCCCCCCCCCCTCCCACAAACAAAGTGTAACCCATATACTTTGATACACAAAAACGCCTTCCGAGTAACTGAGAAAATCACGCAATCACATACAAAATTAGCTGATGAAGACTTACTGAATTACTTCATGTAAATAAATCCACTCACCTGAACTGTTTTACCAAGACCCATATCATCAGCCAATATACCACCAGAATTTTTCTGATGTAAACTCCAAAGCCATTCAATCCCAGATTTTTGATAATCATACAATTTATCGTATAACAACTTAGGTACATGAAATCCATCAGCTACTTGAATCAGTTCACCAGTGACTTTTGAAACTGCTTTCTTATCTGGGCTTTCTTCACGTTCATGTGTATCATCAGAAGATATTTCATTTTCTTTGAGATGGTTTTCAATTCGTTCAATTTTTCTTTTTATCTTATCACACGGATCAAGTTCATAAGCCTTCTTGAGAAGACGAACACACTCCATATACTTCCTGGACTGATATAATTCTTTTGCTTTCTCAACTAGCCATGATGGATCATTATTATTATTGTTATCATCATCATCCTATTTTTCGAAAGCATTTATTCAGTAATAAAAAAACATACCTTGTCTTCTTGTGAAATGACACTCGACAAAGGGATAGGTGGATTATCACGATCTATTGCCTGTTTCATTTCTTCAATTTTCGCTTGAATTTCATCAGAAGGATCACATAAATAGGCTTCTTTTAAAAGATTTATACATTCATCTATTTTTCCAGACATCTCATACTTTTTAGCTTCATTGAGAAAATGTCTAGCAGCTTCCTATTTACAAAAATAAAGACAATAAAAACAACTCGACTGCTACCTTAACAGGACTATTTGACTCTGTTGAAATTACTGGACTATTTTCTTTGGTTTCATCATTAAGGAACTTTTGAAGACGTTCAATTTTCCGTAGAATATTAGGTGATGGATCTAATGCATAAGCCTTTTGACAGAGATTAAGCGACTCTTTATAGTCTCCTTCTTCACATTTCAATCGTGCCTCCGTAAGAAGTGATGAAATATCATCCTTTATATTCATAATGAAGAAATCTTAAAAGCTGATTGGATGTCAGCTGAAGAAAAACAAGTAAACTGATCAGACTAATTTCAAAGAATACAGAAAGTAATTAGTGAACCAAAAGATATTCTTTTCGATAACTTGGAAAAGGATTATAGGTGGTCAAATTAAAACCTGGGATCAGTGCATGAAATCACTGAGCCATGTAGGGAAGTGTAAGCTGCCTGGTTGCAGTCTTTGGGATTCTAAGAACCAATGGCTGGAGACTGCTGGTGATGTGGTTCGACATAGTTCTCGCATATCCACTTAAAGATCATGCTTTTTCCACGCTAGCATTCTCCCTCCATCACATATTCCTGCTTGTAACAGTCCTTTTGAATTTCTTTTTCTCTCTTATGTCTGCATTTGTGTGCTATATGGAATGTGGCAACCTGAACTGCTGCACTTCTGTGAAAAATGCTATGCTGAAACTGAGAAGGGTTGGAATGCCACCACATCTATTTCAGCCTAAGCAACTCTGTATTAACATTAGCCATCACAATAAGTCTGATTCATACACTGTTACATGGTAAACTTGCTCTGGATAAGTCCCCCCCCCCCAAATTCTGACTCATCATATTTTTCCACCCCAAGGCGACATTTAACTCCGTTGATCGAAACGTTATGAAATGCCTGGCCATGAAGCACGTGACAAGGAAGTATATTACGCTAAGCAAGCCACTGTAGCGTGACACATACATCAGTGTAGCAGCTTGTCAGAATTTGTCATTGGTGTCCGCTAAAGACATCCACTACCATCATGCTTACTTAATTTAAATGCAGACGCGCTGACGGATATTATTCTGAACGACTACGGTGTTTCAGGGTTGACTTGATACTATGGAAGAGACGCCCCGATCTATAGTAGGAAGATGATTGGATTTTCAGCGTAGAAGTTGGAAGAAAAGTACAGCCAGTTGAAGTTTCCACAACCATATCGTATACGGAAAACAAAGAATATTCAAAAGAACCATAATGAACGGAAATGTAATGGAGAAAGAATAAGTAAGATAGAGAAATATGAGGATTTAATGGATTTGGGAGACAAGAAACACCGGATGCATCTGAGCCAAGGAAATCATTTTTGAGACATTTCATCAACAGTCTTAAGACACTGGTACTGAAATTTCTAAGGACCCTAACCGTGAGATATACTCCCACGTGGTTAACTCGATCCAACAAAGACTTTAAGGATTCATTTCAGGTTTCGATTTGACCACCCCTAACTCTTTCCCAACCCAATTCTACACCAACTAACATTACTCATAGATGGTCATGGCTAGGCATACGCAACACCAGTCCTATCTAACTCAACCGATGCTCATCCACATCCTCAGTTGACTAGTTTTCCTTACCTAATACTACATCTGATGCCAACGTTTGTAAATCATACTAATTGACACGGAAGATAGAACACAGGGGCTTATGATCACCGACAACCAATCCCTTTATATCTTTCAGCTTAAATCATCACTTCTCACAAACATGAAGGAAGACAGACCAAATGAATGTGAAGGACACACGTCATAGATATGAATTTTACGCGAGAAATGGTACGAGCTGGTAAATGCCACACGAGCCTTTTGTATCCGTACTGCGATTTCATCAGCAATCAACCTATTGAGGATAATGAAACTCGCCAAATAAGTCAAACTGTCAACACATACTAACAATCCACTTCCCATCTTTAAACTAGGAGTCAGTGTGTTCCAGTCCTGCAGCATCATCTGACATTTGACAGAGGCGAATCGCGTGCCGAACACTTGATGACTGCTGCCCAGTATGTTCAGAAGACTGTTTTATCAACTTCTTCACTTAGGAGGACTATGTCATCAGCTGTTGACTGCTTGGCTGAGATACTGATGCTATTGTGAATCATTGGTTATGGAATGTTGACCAAATGGCTCAAAATCCTTCACTCTTTATCCTTATCCAGATTATGATTAACCGACTCTCCTCGCACTCCTACATATTTCTCCACCAGAGTTTCATTTCATTTTCCTTCCTCAAATCTGTGTACTTCCCAAAATATCGTAAGTTGATCTGATGCAAATCAGTGCTGATAAGTCAGTCAATTTCCCCTTAGATAAAAGCAAATTTTATAATTTTGGAGCCGATAACAGAACTTACCAAAAGGTGGTACCAATTCCAACTTAGACAAAGGGTTACAGAAATGCCGTGGACTATCCCGAACAGATTGAAGCGACTTATTGACTTAAGTCCTTGGTTCTTGTCTGATGGGTCACGCGCTCACATCAACCACTTCACTCTGGACAACAGAGTTGTATTATCAGACCTAAAACAATAAGTGTAGCTCTCAGCCTGGCACATGAAAAATCCGTTCAGGGCCAAATTTTATTTTTATTTTTATTTTTTTTATTTTTGATTTACAGCTTGATTCCACACCGTATTTTTTTTAGTACAAGTATGGAATTTTCAGCATGGATATCGGTTAGCCCAAATTCAGGCCTACCATAGATATCTGGTGTGCGCCGGCAGGGGATCGAACCCCGGACCATATGCATGGTCGGCGAGAGTCCTAACCACTGTGCCACCGACGGACAAACAAACAAATACCCAGAACATATGTTTAAGACCTTAAGATCCACATTCAAACCAAGCAGCATACACATAAGTGGAGGAGCATTGACTGAATATCCGCACTCCAGTAGGTCCCTACATAACTCAGTCACATTCACGGTTGACCATGTTTTTTTACTTGGATTGGTACTGTAAAGAAGCCTTAGACTGGTCAAGATTCTTCGATAAAACTGACCACAATCCCATGTTGGCCTATTTTACCGCTAACATTCGCTTTAGTGTTATCAAAAGTACCACCTGAAACATCTACAGCAGTGAGACAAGATAACCATCCAAACATTTTGCATGACAATGAACCACGTTTCTCTGTTTACAGTAGTTCAGTGTACATACAATTTATTTCCTAAATCTGTTAAAATTATTCTACGCAGCATTAGATTGATAGAATCTAGAAATTAACGATTATCATATATGGAAAGAGTAAATTGATGAAACCAAAAGCCAGTCAGTCACTGTTTACGAACAATGTGAATTTCCTTATACTCGTAATGGTCCACGGTCTTGTGGATTAGTGCCCGTGTACACAACTAGGTTTCGAGACACCCAGTTCTGGGCTCAAATCCTAGTAGGGACAACGCCTACAGGAAACAAAAAGGGTATCTATGAAATCACTTCAGATGTTCGAACACATTCCAAGCAAATTTTGCGGATTTTCGGATTTCGCTTTAATTATTATCGCCTACATTTACGCCTATAAGTATTTATGAGTTGGTCCTGTCATAATTGTACGGCTGCAAGCTCAAATTTGCAAGTTATTGCGAAATTTCATACGATGAAGCCAATAATTCAGCTACCACTCGAATCACTAATTATGGTTTCACCAATAAGGCTAAAAGATGGCACAATTGAGTCACTTGCTGTCTATAGTTTAATACTTCTTGATTTAGTATTTCATTTCGCTAATATCCAAAAGAATCATGTTGGGTGCAACACATAACTGCACCTAATCATAGATTTCAATTATCGTAGTGTGCTATCTGCTATTAGATGCTTCACAGTGTCGACTACTGTTGAGTGAATATCACTACTAGAACAGTTAGGAAGTGTTAGTTTTATTTGGTTACATACATGCCGTTGTTTTCAGACAAGATAACACATTTAGCTCAATCACGAATTGAACCAGTACAGCTGGGGTGAAAAATAGTAAATTCATCAAAAACATGTCTCGAGAAGAATAATTTTATGGAACAATAAATCTTTCCTTGAAATATCACAAGAATAATCTCAAGCTCTTTATAATCACGAAGTACTGACAAGTCTCAGTACCCACCCATAAGACCACAGTTTAAGGTCAGGAATTGGAATTCGAAGTTGTAATTCGAGCTGGTCAGAATTATTGTTTGGAGTTTAATCCAGGCTGCTTATTCCCATAACAGTAACCCCCTAAATCCTAAAGTGTATGCTGATCATCACGACATAGAATTTCTCGTCCTAAGCCAACTATCACCTGAAAACAATGCAGTTGACCACTAAAAGGTTATTCAAGCACTCATTTGCCTGAAAGCTATCCTCTAACTTTGCCAGATAACCCAATTATAAGCATTGGACACAAAACTGGACGAACTTGGGAAAGCCGCGGGACCAATAACAATGCTGACTTGATGCATTTAAAGAAATAAATCACACATTCTAGCCTGTTGAAAAATTAGTGATTAACCACTTGTTCATCCTACGTACTGCTGAAGGCTATTGAGATTATGCTGTACCTTCAACATCACATGTGAATGTCTCATAGCTGCAAAATACCCATTGGTTCTCAGTGAGATGCGATTGTGACGGTAAATAATTCCCCAAAATTATTGACCACAGCAATCATCACTCAACATTGGATGCTGACTCTCACTGTTTAAGTCGACTTGTTTAGCTGAAGACTTCCGGTCAAGCATCCTTGCCATTTGGTACTCCGTCGTGTCACGTGCGTGCACGATCACTAGCCAGCTAAGGCTTCACTCGATACGGTTTACTATTTGGTCCCGAAATATATCACGTACCTTGGACTGCTAAATCTGGTCTTTTGCTTTGTCTTTGGTACACGACAAACGAATATTACAGAAGTTGTTGGTATAAGATCTTGCGTCAGTATACTCCGTACAATTCGCGAACTTCGATACTGTCAGCCTCCAAACTGGGAATCCCAACCGCGAACTTCTTTTTAACTAATACGCAGATAAACCCGGTAAGTTCGTTCCTTTTTGTGTTTGTTCTTGTACTCTTTTGTAATCGGCATACATTTCGGCATGAGTGATCCTAGCCCCAAGGTTATTCGTATCCGCTCAACCGCCAAAACAATTCAGCTCGTACCATATTGGCCAGATAATGCTGAAACGTGGTTTCAGATAGCTGAGTCTGATTTTTGTGAGCATGGGTTATCCGATCAACGTTCACAGTTCCTAGCAGTTATTCACGCCCCACCGCAGGAATTCAGCAAGTGCGTAACAGTGCAGATGTCTAGTCCAGGGGTAAGTAACTCGTACGAGCTACACAGACGTTTACCAAAGATCAGGAACCTCTACCTCACAATCAAGAGGCGAGCGCAAAGAAATCAAATTGGTTTATACTAGCTCGTAAAAAGATATTGGATTGGATACGAGTTGCTCAAAGCATCCCTCCTCAGGAGAATCGTTCTCACGGATCAACAGCGTCTGGATGAATTATTTCGTAACATCGAGTTAGAAGATCAGTCAGCCGTGAGCATGCTGGCAAGAATGAGGGAGATTACTGGCCAAAATCAGTTCGATGAAGGACTGTTCGGAGAACTCTTTATATCCAAACTGCCACAGTCAGTTCGGACTGTACTTGTGACACTTCGGAGTGTTCTTATGGATGACTTAGCTGTCTCTGCAGATAAAATTCTAGAGGTAACTAAACGGTCGGTTACCGAAATATACTCAGTTATCGAACAGACTTTGAGTAAGGATACTGCAATGATAGAGTTATGCAACTCCATCCAGCAGATGCTAAGGTCAAACATGCCTAGTAATTCCTCCTACAGTCGTCCTAAATCCCCTCAACGGCAGAACGCACGTAGCCTATCTAAGTCCAACCCAAGTTCTCTCAAAAATCCTGACTGGTGCTGGTATCACAACACCTACGGCCAGGAAGCGAAATGTTGCCGTAAACCTTGTAATTTCGGCAATGTCTCAAAGACTGTGGGAAACTATCCCGCTGGCGTGCGTTAGCGGCAACCGTCGCCGGTGGCAGTCGTGATGTGGTCAGCCAGACCCGCTACTCGGTCGACAGAGACGCCGAAGTCAGCGTCCTTCCTGCTACAGCAGCAGATCGACAGAAGGAACCTACCTTCAACTTACAGGCTGCAAGTGGAAAACCAATGGCAACCTTTGGTAGAAAATACGTCTATCTGAACGTAGGTTTACGCAAACCTATTCAGTGGATTTTCCTTATCGCTCACGTCACAATGCCCATCATTGGCACGGACCTACTTAATCATAATGATTTACTCGTAGACGTCCGCCGGAAACGACTGATTGACAATACTACTAGTCTGTCTATAAAAGGCATCACCTACATAGGCCCCAGCTTGTCAATCGTTAAGATGAAAGCAATCCTCGATCCAACTGTTTAACCGATTGTTGACAAATATCCGGAACTCAATTGCCCATCTAACGATCTTCCGTGTATAACCAGCAATGTTGTGCACCACACCATAACCTCAGGACAGCCCGTGACATCTAAAGCACGACGACTGGCTCCTGACAAACTGAGAATTACTAGAGATGAATTCGATCATATGCTCACCCTTGGCATCATTCGGCCATCGAATAGTCCATGGGCATTCCCACTGCATGAGGCTAGCAACCCCACCCTGTAAACAAACCTGCTGCAGAAACTTCAGCACGATGTATCTCCTTGAGACAAAAGAAAAAGTCTTTGTGGGGACATGGAATGTCCGCACCATGTACGAGATTGGCAAAGCTGCCCAGATCACAAACGAAATGAAAAGATACAGAATTCAAGTACTGGGAATATGTGAAGGCAGGTGGAACGGGAATGGACTCACCAAATTGTCAACGGGTGAGTCAGTGATCTACTCCGGTCACCCAGAAAATAACCACTCGCACACCGAGGGCGTGGCTATCATGATGTCACCAACGGCAACGAAGGCCCTGATGCAATGGGAGGCGATCTCGCCCAGGATAATAACCACCAGATTCAACTCCAAAGGAAGGAAAGTGTCAATAATACAATGCTATGCACCGACCAACAACGCAGACCTCGAAACGAAAGAAGAATTTTACAGACAACTGCAGACAACAATGGACAATACTCCAGCTGGTGACATCAAAATACTAACGGGAGACATGAACGCCAAACTGGGATCAGATAACACAGGAAGGGAACTCATCATGGGTGGAGAAGCTCTCGGAGAAATAAATGAAAACGGAGAACTCTTCGCCGACTTCTGCGCCTTCAATGAACTAGTGATTGGTGGCAGCATATACAAACACAAGGATATTCTTAAGGCTACATGGGTGTCACTAGATGGGCGAACCAAAAACCAAATCGACTTCATCTCAATCTCAAGAAAGTGGAGACGCAGCCTGCTGGACATAAAAGTAAGAAGAGGAGCAGACGTTGCCTCAGACCACTACATCGTACAAGGGACAATCCAAATCAAATTGAAAGCTTTCAGAGAAACAGAAGCTGCAGATAGACCACAAGCCAAGTTC